CACACAAAAGGCCACACTATCTTGGTCTTCATACCTTTGATAGATTACTCTAATTGATAATAAATAAATCGTGAGGTTTCGTACACAACACAACCATTACGACTAGAACTTATCAAAAATGGAATTCCTTTCTAATTTCTCTATTTTTACTACTACTTATAACCCAATTTTTAAATTTTTATGTTAATTTTTTTGAATAACGAAGTATTGTATCGCACAAATAATCTCACATCGTTTGTAGCTTAATAACATGAGATATACTCTCGTAGTTCTGTGTAGAGAGCATAATTTCACAGGTTGACCTGAGTTTATTATTTTGGAGAGGTTTGGTAACAGTTCGTGCTTCGTGTGCATGAAAAAAGTTGGCCATGCTATTATGTCTTTCACTTTGCACGGATAGTTGAGCAGAAGAGGCTCGCAAATTGGCCTTACCCGAAAGACGGAAAGTCATTATAGATGCATTGAAGCCGATGGCTTCTAAACACAAATTAACAATGACAACTACAAAGAAATCCCCTTTTAGTTTCCGATGAAGCCAAAGTAAGAATCACTTCCATCGGACTCTGGATACGTAACAAAGGCCTAGTCCCATGAAATTATTAAGGGAAACAAGTATTTTCACCATATATCTAAAAATCACCTAACTCACTAGAGGTAGGATTGAGAACAGCACCATATTTCTAGAGAATAAAAATAGAAGTTAGACTTACTCGATGTACTCTCTCTTGTTGATATTAGTTACAGATATCTTGCGCCCATCTGGCACAAGATCAACTGTGACGGTCTCCCCGAAGTGCTCTTCGTCTACTGAGAATGTCAAATCGAGACTGGCAGGGTCTTCTTCAAGAATGAATCGTAAGCTCTTATAGTACTCAGTGTCTACGGCCTCCATGTCAGCTAGGCTGATTTTGCGGCCCAACATCATCTTGTATAGCGGACGGATGAAAAATCCATCAATCAGCTTGCCATGGTAAACGGCCATGCTAACGACGCGACCAATGAACTTGAAGTAGCGCAAGTGATGTTCGTTGGCTAATCCTGAGAGTGGGTTGATTTGTAAGGTGTAGTTATCACTGGAACAGAAGGATAGTAAAGAGCATAGCGC